ACCGAGACATTCAATCCAGGAACCCCTGTTAACAATAAGTGTTAATTAGGTGTCAACGATAGCCATGTGATGTGAGTATCAGTCACATGGAGGCAGGGCTTAAAAGCCTGAATTTTGCCTGAAACTCTCAGACTGAAGAAGTCTTTTGGAGAAGAGACGAAACGTTTCATTAGAGAAGAACCCGTCCAGAAGACCTACACAATTTTTTTCTTTTTTATTTAAATGATTATTTTTCAACAGGTCTAACAGTATTTGGATCTAAATCACACTGTTGATTTATGATTTAATAAGAGGGCACCATTACTTTTCCACATGGGCCAGGTTGGGTTCGTTGTTTTCCTCTCTTAATTAATAAAATCAAAACTGTAATTTAGCTTTACTCAGGTTATCTTTWTCAAAGGTTCTAAAAAATGTTTGCATTTCTGAAACATTTAAATGTGACAAACAGCAAAGCTAGAAGAAATCTATGAGGAAACAAGTACTTGTATTTCCGCTGTAGGCTGTAGTTTCTGTTTCATTTCATGAAAATATGCTGACCTTGTGATGAACAACCATAGAGAAAGCCAAAGGAAAGTCTTCCTCTTCTTTGCTCAGTGAAATTGGAATGTATTTCCTCTCTGACCTGAATTTCCTGTAACAATGTTGCTTGTCAGTAATTATACAGTTTACCACTGTATATTCATAGTTATTTCAGTGCTATCATACCATACCTGCAGTCTTGGGTTTCATTAATGTAATACTCATCTGGGATCTGAATATTTTTGTGGAAATCTCTGGTGATGGTCAGTAATTTGGCCTGCTCAACTGCCTCCTGCTCTCCCTGCAAGATTGCTGAACAGTTGCAGACTTTCTCTGGGCCACCATCGTCATCGGTATATTCCAACAAGCTGCGGCTGTGGATATCAGCATGTGTCCTGCCTGCGGTCAGCTGACCCACTAGATAAAATGTCCACAGAGATCCCAGCCCAACTGTGATCTTTAGAAACCATGTTAGACAGCCTCGTCTCAGAAACCGCATTATTTTACGAAGATTTCCTCTTTGATGTTTGCAAAGAGGGAATTCCGTAAGCAAACCAGGTGAAATGCAGAGCTTCCTACAGTTCAAAGTTCATTTTTTTCTTATTAGATATTCCAATTGTCCTGGGAGAAAAAACACAAACAAAAAACATTATGTTTAATCAAAGCTTTGTGTAGCTAGTGCTTGAAGAAAAACTGGTGTCAAACGTCATAACAGCTTTAAAGGTTTTACATGGCGTTAGTTAAGAACACTGTTCTAAGAACATCTGCATTCCTCAACTACACCCGTAAAACTGGTTGTTTTACACGACATTCACAAAKGCTGAACTTCCTCTACGTAACATTTTAAACAGGTTAGGTGCTTGAGGTTTTCAAAAATTAATAATGATTTTTAGCCACAGCACTGAACACCAAGCTATTGTTCCAGTTATTGGTACATCTTTTATATTGAATCATTTTTTTCATTCATTTCATTAAAAACAACATAAATTCAATATAATTAAAACACAAATCATAAATAAATGAAAGGCAGCAGAAGACAAAATCTTATATCTGCCCCTTTTCTCAGATAAAAATCAAAAATAAACTTCAAATTACAATTACAATTCTATTTTTYTTAAAAGAAAATGGATTTACTATGTTAACGTTTAGTCACAATGTTAAGCTTGATGTAAAGTGTCTGTTTTAAAAGATAATGACAGAGTAGAACAAATACATTTAAACTACAAAGTTTTTTTTTTTTTCAAATAATCAAGGGTAATCTGTGAGCTTAGATCATGGTGTTAGGGCAATATCATGGCATTTTTATTGGTAATGATTAAATAACACAGAAAAGCTTCTTACCTCTGTCAGATGTACGTTTTACAGTGAGGATTACTCATAAATGAAATTCTTTTTGCCTCGTGCCGGTTTGCTCAGCTCTCAGTTACCACACCTACAGTATGGCACTCCTCCAGTGCCAGTCTCCAGTGGCTGTCAGTGAGGAAACAAATTCACAAACAGGTCAGCTGTTCTCCTTTGCCACCAAATACTTTTAAACTACTGAAAATGATTTAAGTCTACACCTAATCTCTTAATGAATTATTTTTCCCACTACAGAGGCCACTACCCTCTATCTGACTGYGACAAAAGGTCGTGAGGAGATAACAGGAGAAAATACACCTGAGCAAGKCTACGCTCCATGATCACACCGACCCCCTGGTCCTGAAGTCCTTYGATCCCAGCTGTCTAGTGTCCTGCAGAGTCTTCAACACGAGTCTGTTGGTTATTTGGAAAACTTCTTGCTTAGTGTAAAGAAAGCCACCCAGTCAGTGCTAAATGATCTGATGTCAAATTCATGAAATTTGACCTGGAGGGGGGTGATCCTTGTCTTGATTAGACAACTTGCTTTAAAGGAGAAGTAGCATTTCTAWGACATGGTGAGACCTGCTGTGATCGCTTTTCATCATGTTAAATCTCATGTGAGCTTTGACGACCATTGTTTTATAGGCTGAGTACAGCTTTTTGAGGTACCAGTTTAATATAATCATGAGATAAAAATTAAGATAGTAAAAGGAAAAAGAGTTACAATAGTGTTTACCATTTGGTCTGTGAGAAAACAGTTTGTGCTACTTTCAGGATCTTTAAAAGGATAAAAAAAAAAGGTCTAATATATGAACAGCTTAACAGTCAATGCAGTTATAATTTCTAAGAAAAGTCTCATTTCTAGAATAGTTTTTAATCTATGAAGTGTACTAATCTAACTTTTCTTCCTAAAAAAATCCATAAACTTGACAACAGTTGGTCTAAGTGATGCGTTCATTTTGGTAYATCTTTATTTTTTGTTGCAGCATTAAATAAAGTTTAACAAAAYTCTGCTTGTTACCATCTAATAATATGGGAATTTGCATTTCATGTTGGTTGGTTCAGTGTKCAGAAAAACAGTTGCAGGCCACATAAACTGAGAAACACTTTTGGCAATSTGAGTGCAGCTTTTGACAGAGACACTTTTAGTGCCGTGACTTCGTTGCACCCCACAGCTACCACCACTAGGAGGCACCATAGACCAGGGGTGTCTGATCCTGGTCCTCACTTCGCAGCTCTGACACACCTGRTTCAGTGGTTGAACTATCTCAAGTTTCTGTTGAGGCCTGTTATTAACGTGACTGATTAAAAGGCTTGTATCACCCATTCATTAAAATCAGGTGAGTTTGAGCAGAGAAACMTTTAAAATATGCAGAGTAGTCAGGGACACCCCTGATTGTGACTGGAAAAGTCCAAATTGGACCTCTGTGCCACTGTTATCTGGAAAACAGAATGTGCAAATTGAGGTAGGTTAYAGATAAATGCTATATAAAATATACAATGTCACTTCATTAATTAAATATTAAGTAATTTATTAAATCTACCTAATCTAAACAGTCAAAATTGATGATTTAATTAATATTTTTTACAGAATTTTATATTTATTTTTAGTCGTTATATTTCCGAAAGCACCTGAAKGCAACTTGTGACGCCCTCTTTGGTCACGTGGTCATTAACGTCATACCAAGCTTTGCCGACGCAAATTTCACATGAAACCGGCTGCTGGTTCTTGGTCGGTTTTTCCAGATTTTCTTTTTTCCCCTCATCACTCGAGGTTTGGTAAAGTCGAGACCAGAGTCTCCCTACCTTCCTGTCCTGTATAAACAGCTCCCCGGGATACGTTTTTAGGGAGTCTGTGCCTCCGATGAAGCTAGTTAGTTAGCATCGCTAGCATAGCTGGTGAACTTTCACCGTCTGTAGTCAGTGACTGGGAGTTCAGCAGTCAGACAGGTGAAGYTAATAACGGTGCAGGTGGACACCAGGACGAGAAGCTGAACTGTTAAGAGCAGGTTTTATTTGTCATCTCGTCCGAGCACGGTAGTTGTGCTTTGTTAGCCATCCCGACTTCCGTGTGTGGTCATTCTTCTGTCGAGGTCATTCAYATCTCCATCCAAAGCAGCTGTTCCTGGACACGAATCATGAAGAGCCTCCCGTACTTCTGTCGAGGGCAGGTGATTCGAGGATTCGGGAGAGGAAGCAAAGAACTCGGCATTCCCACAGGTGAGGCTAATGAATGCCTTTCATTCCGGTGTTATGTGTATGCAGATAATATAAACACACGGTGCTACGCAGTTAACGTGAGTTATTTTTTATTTAATTTATTTATTTTAACCGTACTGAAAAAAACTGAGCTCTTTGTGGATTATTTCTTTATTAAGACATCCAAATAGATTCGTCACGTATTATATAGTTTATTCAGACTTACACAAATGGCGCACATTTTAGGAAACAGCAGTTATGTTTTTAGCTAAGGTAAAGGTGAGTTACGTAACAGGACTAGTTAATTTTTTATGTTAAGAGGTTTGTGTCCTTTTTTTAAACGAAGCCATTAATGTTCAATTTATTGCTAATTGAATACACAAATCTGCAAAAAAATAATGTATTCAGAAACACTAAATAACGCGTAAGTTGTTTTTCAATCACTGTWGTTCAAAGTCTTTTTAGTTTGCATCAGTTTGGTAATGGTAAGCTACATTTACAGAGACAAATAGCTTTATTTGGTTGTGAAATAGCAGAAATGTCTAATAATAAAAATATGCCTTTTCAGAAAGCGTTATAATAACGAACATTGAAAATGTTTTTCTATTTAAATTCAGTTTTCTGATATAAAATATGCAAGCTCAAATAAATCAGCAGSAGCCAGTTTTATTGTTAAAAAACAAAGTACAGATTATTGTTGCTGCTGTCTGAGATCATTCTGAAATATTTTAGGGTTTTAATTCAGTACATTGTGTCTAATGTTTTAATTAGTATATTGTGTCTGATAATGTTTTAATTAGTATATTGTATCTGATAATGAGCAAGTTCAGTTTAAAATAGATCATCTAAATCAGAGGTTCTCAAACTGGGGTCCACAAGAGGTATCTTGGGGGTCCTCAAAAAATTTCACTAAACTGTTAATTTGGTTTTTATTTTTAAAAATGCATGGAAAACAATGAACTAATAAAACAAACATAATAAACTTAATAAAAATATGTTGCCATGGCATTTAGGGGTTACAATGACAATAAACTATCTTTTAAAAAAAAGCATGGGGTTTATGGGGGGTCCCTGGAATATTTTCACCCTTGCAAGAGGTCCCCAGACCCTAATAGCTTGCGAACCCCTGGTCTGAAGCTATGGTCAGTTTTTAAAGTTAAACATTTATGTTGTATTTATTCCTAGAAWCACTTTTTCCATAAATCACTTTGACCTACTGTAACTATCAGCCAATCAGTTCTTTTCATCTTTTTACTCATTAGTATTTATTTTCCTCTTTGCTTCCTCTGATTCTTCTTTTGGTTCTCCAGCCAACTTCTCTGAATCAGTGGTGGACAACCTCCCAGCAGATATCRGCACAGGAATCTATTATGGCTGGGCTTGTGTTGGCAGTGGCGACGTTTACAAAATGGTGATGAGCATCGGCTGGAACCCTTACTATAAAAACAAGAAGAAGTCTATGGTAAGCAAGATAATGAACTGAGGAGAACTGTTGGATCAATGTAGCTGTTYGCTTGATGAGATTAATTACTGGGTTTTAACTTTAATTCATCTTAATCTTTTTGTTTTTCTTTCCCTGGAGTTAAAAAGAAGAGAGAACTCATTTAAAATTATTTTCTTATTGATCRTGAGCTTCATTAAAATGTTTTTAAAAGCCGTTCAGACAAAAGCTGTGAGGRAAATGTGACATTGAACATGTATGTAGTTTGATTTAAAATATATGTAGTAATGTGTAGCCTCATCTTGGCTTATTACTTTATTATTATTTTAAAACATGTTAAAACTAATAAAAACCTAACTAAAAATGAATATTTTTTGCAGGTGGAAATATTAGAATCGATGGATAATTTAGAAGGGTAATGATTAAAATAAAGACAGACTGAGAAATCAAGATAACCTGCACACAGGATGTCTGTTGGCTGTGATTTAGTTCTTGGAGTAATTTTAGATGTTTGGTTTGACCTCCTCAAAGAGAAAGATCTTCACAAATTAGAGGGAAATCTGAGTAACTCTTTTAAAAGATCATGTTTACAAAATCAGTTCATTAATGCTGGTGTCTGCTGTCCTGTTTGTGTAAATAAATTATAAATGGTTTATGGTTCCAGGAGACACACATAMTTCATAAATTCAAAGAGGACTTTTATGGGGAAACGCTGAGTGTCGTCCTGGTGGGCTACATCCGCCCAGAAAGGACCTACAGCTCACTCGGTATGCCTTTTAATTTAAATTTCCACCCTCCGTGACCTGTTTGTTAGACTTCCATCAATCTTTCCTCTGTAACTCTGCGCTTCAACAGAAGCGCTCATCGCGGCGATCAACGACGACATCGAGGAGGCCAAAGTGCAGCTGGAGCTCCCCGAGCATCRCAAGCTGAAGGAGGACAACTTCTTCACCAGCACAACCAACTCCTCTTCAGCCTCAGCCCCCACCACCGCCTCCACGTCACAGACGATCATCAACGGTCACTGACAGCCGGCTGTGGTTTCAGCAAACACTCACACAAACCAGACCACCGGGAGGTTTATTATTAAACCTGTCAGCTGTTACTMTGGCTGCAAATCCCCTTCATGAACAGCCTTTCCATTTTTCTTTTTTTTTTCTTTTTTCTTCTTTAGTGTTTCTGCCTTAAAGAGCTGCTTCCATGGGCCTCTGTTGCAAATTGCTTAGATTAATTTAACAGATTAACACGGACACAAGCAGGTCTTCTTTTGTTCAAATATGAATAAACAATGAGCCAAATAAACTCATCCCTGAGAATATAAACAAGCAAAGAGTTAGTGCTGCAAAGCTTTTTAACTTGGATAGTTAGGAAAATGTATCCGTATCTGTACCAAACAGAAGTGCCCATTTAGACAATATTTGTGCAACACTGATCTTACTCATCACTGTAAAAATGGTACTTTAAAGACCGTGTAAAGTAAATGTAAAGTAAAATGTAACATTTTCTTTTTTAAACATAAATGTCATAAATGCATTGTTGTAAATGAGTACGMATTCTCTCAACTGTAGATATTTGAATAATGGAGATATGATTCAATTTGTGTAACAAAGTGTGTTTCAGGATTTTTTTTTGGGCGTGTCTTAAAGGGCAGCCTCGTGATGTCACGCAGTCGCCTTCAGTATAACCCCGCCTCCTGTTGCTCTAATGGAAATCAAAACAAACATTGTTTCATCGGTTACAGGAATGTTCWGGGTCGTGGGCGTGGTTTGAGCTCCCCTAGAGGACACGCCCCCAGCATTCCAGACCACAGCTAACTGATTTTTTTTTTCATTAATTTAACACCTAATTTTATAAGGTTAACAGTATTTTATTAACAGTATTCAAACTTGGCTGGGTGATTTTTAACACATATTTCTGTGGTGTGACAACCTCAGAACACACATTTCTTTTTTACTTTACACGGTCTTTAAGTATGTACTTATCCAAACCTGACTATTAAAGTTTCATGTTCTGTAGAGAAGCTGTCTATAGAGCGTTGATCACAGGGCTGGTGGCGCTCCGGCACCGTGCCGGATCTCTGRCTTAGCATAGCAGCGTCAAGAAAAAAAAAATGTTTCGACCAGAGATTTAACAAACATTTCTCTGGACCTAAGAGAGGCACAGCTGTCACTTTAACACACTATAGGCCTACTAGCCAGTCAGAAATGGGGTGAGATATTTACTGATTCCTCCACCACCTGAGAGAGACGAGCCGTGCAGATGGATGCTAAAGTTAGCTGAACAGGAGCAGAGAGAAAATCTCAAACWTCTACATCAGAGCAGAGATTGCAGTCAAGGTAATGAAGTCAAAATTATATCAATGCAGCCAGTTTTCTTTAAGCTGCTGCGTGGGTTTTGAATAAAGTTTAATTGTTAAGGATGGAAAATGTAAGAAGTTTTGACTCTTTAACCAACTGCCTTGGCTGTCTTTGTGTCATCAGCTTGTAAGGTGATTGAAGATGGACTTAATTTGGTAATAAACCATTAATAATTTAAAATGTGGGAAAATAAATGACCTTTTTTAGACAGCAATGTTTTTTAGGTGCATGAACATGAATTTTACCAGTAAAATGTCTGAACTGCAAAATGTCCATCCATTCATAATGTACGTACATAAAACATTWAGATTTTTGTTGAAGCTGTTCCAAAAGCCTGTAAGAACATATTCAGTGTGTTTTTAAGCCTGTGTGACTGACAGATGATATCAGGGTAAAACATGAAGTGTATATTTACTGGAACCCCTGTAAAAATGTTTAATTGATAATTTGTGAATTTGGTTTTTAGGCTTTAAAAATATTGTATTTAATATATTAATGTTACTCAGGCAGTAACATTTAATGTTATATAYGTTGGCATATTTCCTCTTTTTGTATATTTTGTTTGAAACCACTGAAATGTAACTGAAGTCATCACTCATGGTTCTTCCTCAGACCTGTGACAGATGTAATTGTCAGAGCCTTGGCATTTTTATTCACTACTTTTAGGATTTAGTCTCATTTGTAGCATTAATAATATACTGTTTAAATACAAATTACAACAGTGTAACTGCAAAGTTTGTTCTGTTTTGCATCATTTTCAAATCATAAAGATGTTTCCAAASAGTGTGAGTTGTAATGTTTTATCTTTGACAAATATAACAATTTCTTAAAAATAATGAATTTGTCACCGATCTGCCATCATCACTATCAGCTGAAGGAATGGTGGTTTGAGCTCCATGCTGTACAAAAATCTTTTTTATGCAAATTACCTACAGTAGTAATTTCATAGAAAGTTACTTTAAAAATATGTAACTAGTTCATATCAAATAAATATATATTCATAGTCTGAACGGGAAAAGAATGCAAGAAAAACTTGTCAAAAGTTCTTCAACTTGTTTATCCTTTGAGGCCAGCTGCTGCATTTCTGACTTACAGACATTTGTAAATCCTTGGTTTTAGTTGTTCAAGTTAATGTTAAATTCAATAAGACAAAACACAGACATAAGAGATTCCAGATTTGAGCTTTATAAAATGTTTGTTAAAAGATATTTGGACTGAACATGATATTCACAATAGTTCTGTGTTGGTGTGAAACTTAAGAGACGTGTTTTTCAGCCCTGGTCTTCAAGGCACACAGCCCTGCATGAGGTTTCCCTGCTCTTACACACCTGATTCAGATGRTTAACAGGCTTTTGTTGAACTGCAATCAGTTACCAGCTGAAATCAGCCGTGTGGGAAACATCTAAAACATGCAGGACTGTGTGACTTGAGGACCAGGGTTGATCTAAGCAACAAAATGTTTGGATCAAAGAACTGAGAAACTTGTTTGTATCAGAATAAATTGAAAACATTTAATTCAAATGATGTTTGAAACATTAAAACTTTATCCCAAAGAGCTGTGGTGACACTGGACTAGTTGTACTTTTTATTGCAGCTGAGGAAAGACAAACTGTGATCATGGAAACAAGTCTGGCTGCCAGGTGTCTGACATTTATTTAATCTTTTATGGCAGGACAAATATTACTGTTTAATTAAAACTGGTCAATAACTGACCACAGACTTAAGACAGCATATTAATAATTAAAGTGTTTTAATATTTTTAAGGATGTTTACTGCCGCCACTATTTCCAAATGAATAGAAATATTTTACATTTTTTATTTTTTATTTTAAAATACAAAAAATTCAAAATAAGTCTCATGCAGGTTTAATAAAATGCTTAAACAGAAACATTAAGTCTTTCAGTACAACAATAAATACTCATGTTTTCATCTAAATGAGTAGCTTTCATCATCATATTCCAGCTCATCGTCATCATCATCCAACAGTCCATATTTACCTTTTCGATACATCGACCCATCTTTGGTCATGTACACTATATCCTCATCATCATCCTCYTCATCACTGTCCTCACATTCAGCCATCCTGTCGCTGTACTCTCCAAAYGAAGAGGTGTTGGGCTGAGGCGTGRAGCTTTCGATGGTGTCCAGCTTCACGTAACCTCCAGCTTTGGATTTGGGCAGCTTCAGTCGAGCACTGAGGAGGAGGAAGATTCCCATTCCCACAAAGAGGATGAGCAGAACAAAAGCCGTGGTGACCAGTTTAGGGGTGCTGCTGCCTGAACCTTCATCTGTCGTCATCACAAAGTTCACCCCCAGGGTGCACTCCTCTGAAAAGAATAATGGAAAGGTCAGAGTGAGTAAGGTGAGTGACAAACAAAACACTCAAAGCCTCCTGGAGTTCCACTGATCAACATATTCAAGAATATTTTTATTATTTTAATCAGTTTTGAAGAGTCATCTCATTARACTTTAATCAAGAGTTTCCCAGCTAAGAGCTCGCAGCTGCTCTTTTACATCCAATCATCAGCATTATATCCAAAATATAYGTGACCCAYTCAAGGATTCAAGGAAGTTTTATTGTCATTYGCAATACACAAACGTGGTGGAACRAAATTCTGTACCCAAGGTCCTGGTCTATCCAAAGCAAATGTAGATAATAGAGAAAAATATCACAAATATCGAAACGAGGATTAAGTCAAATTTGGTCAAAATGACCTAATTACATGTTCAGATTCCTGGTTTTAAATGCTATATTTTAATACCTGGATCATTCTGRTATACGTAAATCCATATATATGACTTAATTTGTCTTGTTGGTTATGATAATACATAAATATTTGGTCTGAATCCTAATTTTATGTAATTTTAATGAGGAATTTCTTTTATAAAGAGGAAACCTCAAATTATATTTGAATACTGAGATTTCGCAGCTAAAAAGAAACACAGCTTTGCTAGCTTACGTGGAAAATCTAAAAATTTTAAGTCATTTTTCCTCAAAATCAGTTTTTTGTTGCTACARCTCAAAAAAATGCTTGAAATTTTTGTTTTATGATTATATTTCAGACAGTTCATTTAAATGATACAGAATTTATTCATTATGTTTTGACAAAATGCAATTTTTGCAAACATTTTAATCAAAACACTATATTTGCCTATTTCTCTATATCCCACTTTTTGACTTAATCCTCGTTTCGATGTGATGGGTCTCATWTTTAGAAATAGTTTGGGTCATTTTGTGCAAGAACTAAAAGTAGAGCGATACGTTTTAAAAAGAAAATCAAAACCAAGCTTTTAAAGTTTTGCACCTGTTAGTTTACTTTGGAAGTGCAGTAAGAAAGAAGGTTGGAAGTCAGTGAGAGAGAGAGACAGGAGCAGAGAGAGGAACACAGAACAAGTATTTTGTATTAGATAATCTTGTGATGGCAATTATATTTGTAAATATTAAAATGATGATATCAGATGTGATCTGTCTTTTTTTCTTTCCTCACTTTCCAATCTGTACTTCCTATTATGTGACTTTTAGTCATTTTGGCAGTCCTTTTTGTCAGGTGTGAGCTTTTGCTGCCATGAGACCCTGTCCTACTGRTTAAATAYTGCWTTAGCACGACAAATACAACTTCAAACCTCCTCAAGTACATTACTCAACAATTATTGCACATCAAGAATTCYTTTGCAGCTTGAATATTGTGCACACTGACACTGACTTTTTTTTTCATGTTGTGCAATCCTATTAGACTCAAGCCATTTTGTTGGGTGGTTTGCCCACATCACCATTTTTCAAGAAAAGATCCAATAGCTCTGCAGTGCAGTTGATTTATGACATAGTTCTGCTCAGACTATGTACGAATC